AACGAAGCCAAGATTCAACTTGTCTGCTGGATTCCTTAGATAGAGAACTTTACTAATTGGCTTTTATGTGAATGTTCCTGTAATGTGCCCTGAGACAACTTTGTTGTGATTTGGCGCTATATAAATAAACTGAATTGAATTGAATATACATGAATGTTTCTGTTAACTTGTTATCTTTAAGTATGAAGGTTTGTGTTCAGTGCCCTGAGAGGACTTCTTTTGTGACTCGGCGCTATATAAATCAACTGAATTGAATTGCTTCAAACTGTTGGCTTCCACCATGTTTGTCTGTTATTAAATTATCTCATGAACAACTGGAAGGATTTTATTGAAACTTTCAAGAAGTAATCAATGGATCTACATGTACAACTGATTAACTTTGGAAGTCAGTCTAATTGTCACAGCTAATTAACTTTAGCAACACAAAAATGGCTACAGTTTTGTCAAATTTACAGAGATTGAACTAAAGTTTGGTGTAGTACTAACTGAGAGTCATACAATACACATGTTTCTGAGCATTAACCCATTTTGCAATATTGCATGAGATCATTCACATTATTTACAAGATTTGGTCAAAACTATACTGCCATCATCCCTCATTCTAAGACTTCTCAGTATAAAACTCTGACATGAAAGGCAGCGAGTGATGTGCATTCCTTCAAGAGGAGCTAGTTTAAATTATATTTAAAATTCAAGGTGTCTCTTGTTTAAATAGCTGCCCCTTAGCTGATCATTTTAAAGACAAAATTAGTGCTTGTTTGTTAGATTTTTATATAATAATAATTAAAAAAAATAACAATAATAGATAAATACGGTGGCACGGTGGCGCAACTGGTAGAGCTGCTGCCTCCCAGCGAGCAGGTCCTTGGTTCAAACCCCGGTCCAGGGGCCTTCTGGGTGGAGTTTGCATGTTCTTTCCGTGCATGCGTGGGTTTTCTCCAGGTACTCCGGTTTCCTCCCACAGACCAAAAACATGCATGTTAGGCTAATTGGTAACTCTAAATTGTCCCTAGGTGTGAGTGGGAGAGTGAATGGTTGTTTGTCTCGTTTGTCTCTATGTGGCCCTGTGATGGACTTGCAACCTGTCCAGGGTGTACCCCGCCCCTCGCACAGCGATCGCTGGACATGGGCACCAGCGACCCCCATGACCCAAAATGGAATAAGCTGGTAAAGATAATGGATGGATGGATAAATAGTGTTAATTTATCCATCCATCCATCCATCCATTTTCTTCCGCTTATCTGGGGTCGGGTCGCGGGGGTAGCAGCCTAAGTAGGGAGGCCCAGACTTCCCTCTCCCCAGCCACTTGGGCCAGCTCTGCCGGGGGAATCCCGAGACGTTCCCAGGCCAGCCGAGAAACATAGACCCTAAAGCGTGTCCTGGGTCTTCCTCTGGGCCTCCTCCCGGTGGGACGGGTCCTGAACACCTCACCAGGGAGGCGTCCAGGAGGCATCCTAAACAGATACCCAAGCCACCTCAACTGCCTCCTCTCCACGTGGAGAAGCAGCGGCTCTACTCTGAGTCCCTCCCGGATGATCGAGCTTCTCACCCTATCTCTAAGGGAGAGCCCAGACACCCTGCAAAGAAAACTCATTTCGGCCGCTTGTATCCGCGATCTCATTCTTTCGGTCAAAACCCAAAGCTTGTGACCAAAGATGAGGGTAGGAACGTAGATCGATCGGTAAATTGAGAGCTTCGCCTTTTGACTCAGCTCTCTCTTCACCACGACAGACCTGTACAGCGCCTGCTTCACTGCAGACGCTGCACCTATCCGCCTATCGATCTCACGCTCCATTTTTCCCTGATTCGTGAACAAGACCCCAAGATACTTGAACTCCTCCACTTGGGGTAGGACCTCCTCCCTGACCCGGAGAGGGCGCTCTACACTTTTCTGGCTCAAGACCATGGCCTCGGATCTGGAGGAACTGATCTTAATCCCGGCCACGTCGCATTTGGCTGCGAACCGCTCCAGCGAAAGCTGTAGATCATGATCTGATGAAGGCAATAAGACCACATCATCTGCAAAAAGCAGAGACGCAATCCGAAGGCCACCAAAACGGATCCCCTCAACACCTTGGCTGCGCCTAGAAATTCTGTCCATAAAAGTTATGAACAGAATCGGTGACAAAGGGCAACCTTGGCGGAGTCCAACTCTCACTGGGAACAAGCCCGACTTACTGCCGGCGATGCGGACCAGGCTCTGACACCGGTCATACAGGGACCTAACAGCCCGTATCAAAGGGCCCGGTATCCCATACTCCCAGAGTACCCCCCACAGGGCCCCCCGAGGGATGCGGTCGAACGCCTTCTCCAAGTCCACAAAGCACATGTAGACTGGTTGGGCAAACTCCCACGCACCCTCCAGGACCCTGCTGAGAGTGTAGAGCTGGTCCAATGTTCCACGACCAGGACGAAAACCGCACTGCTCCTCCTGAATCCGAGGTTCGACTATCCGACAGACCCTCCTCTCCAGAACCCCCGAATAGACCTTACCAGGGAGACTTAAGAGCATGATTCCCCTGTAGTTGGAACACACTCTACGGTCCCTCTTTTAGAATAGGGGGAACACCACCCTGGTCTGCCAATCCAAGGGAACTTCCCCCGATGTCCATGCAATATTGCAGAGTCGCGTAAGCCAACACAACCATACAATATCCAGAGCCTTAAGGAACTCCAGGCGAATCTCATCTACCCCTGGGGCCCTGGCACTGAGGAGCTTTTTAACCACCTCGGTGACCTCAGCACCAGAGATTGGAGGGCCCGACCCAAGTCCCCAGGTTCCGCTTCCTCAGTGGAAGACGTGCCGGTGGGATTGAGGAGGTCTTCAAAGTATTCTGTCCACCGACCCACAACATCTCAAGTTGAGGTCAGCAGCACACCACTCCCACTATGAACAGTGTTGGTGGCGTACCACTTCCTCCCCCTGAAATGCCGGATGGTGGACCAGAATCACCTCGAAGCCATGCAGAATTCATTCTCCATGGCCTTTCTGAACTCCTCCCATGCCTGAGTTTTGCCTCAGCAACCACCCGAGCCGCATGTCGCTTGGACTGCCGGTACCCATCAGCTGCTTCCGGGGTCCCACAGGCCAAAAAATGCCCGATAGTACTCCTTCTTCAGCCTGACAGCAGCCCTCACCGACGGTGTCCACCATCGGGTTTGAGGGTTGCCACTGCGACAGGCACCGACAACCTTGCGGCCGCAGCTCCGGTAAGCCGCCTCAACTATAGAGGCACGAAACATGGTCCACTCAGACTCAATGTCCCCCACCTCCCTCGGAACATGTTCAAAGTTCTCCCAGAGATAGGAGTTAAAACTCCGTCTCACAGGAGACTCTGCCAGATGTTCCCAGCAAACCCTCACAATATGTTTGGGTCTGCCATGTCTGACCGGCATCCTACCCCTCCATCAAAGCCAACTCACCACCAGGTAGTGATCTGTGGTCAGCTCTGCCCCTCTCTTCACCTGAGTGTCCAAGACATGTGGCCGCAGATCAGATGAGACGATGACAAAGTCGATCATCTAACTGTGGCCTAGGGTGTCCTGGTGCCAAGAGCACATATGGACACCCTTATGCTTGAACAAGGTGTTCGTTATTGACAATCCATGACAAGCACAGAAGTCCAACAACAGAACACTTCTCGGGTTCAGATCAGGGGGGCCGTTCCTCCCAACCACACCCCTCCAGGTCTCACTGTCATTGCCCACATGAGCACTGAAGTCCCCCAGCAGAACAAGGGAGTCCCCAGGAGGTGCACTTTCCAGTAGCCCCTCCAAGGACTCCAAAAAGTGTGGATAATCTGAACTGCCGTTTGGTGCATAAGCACAAACGACAGTCAGAACCCGTCCCCCCACACGTAGGCGGAGGGAGGCCACCCTCTCATTCACTGAGGTGAACCCCAACACACAGGCACCAAGTTGGGAGGCAATAAGTATGCCCACTCCTGCTCGGCGCCTCTCACCAGTGGCAACTCCAGAGTTGAAGAGTGTCCAGCCCCTCTCAAGGAAACTGGTTCCAGAGCCATGCGTAGAGGTGAGTCCGACTATTTCTAGCCAGAACCTCTCAACTTCACATACCAGCTCAGGCTCCTTCCCCACCAGAGAGGTGACATTCCACATCCCAATAGCCAGCTTCTGTAGCCGAGGATCAGACCACCAGGGTCCCCGCCCTCGGCCACCACCCATCCCACATTGCACCCGACCCCTTTGGCCCCTCCCACAGGTGGTGAGCCCATGGGAAGGGGGAACCATGTCTCCTCTTCGGGCTGTGCCCGGCCAAGCTCCATGGGTAAAAGCCCGGCCACCAGGCGCTCGCCCGCGTGCCCCACCTCCAGGCCTGGCTCCAGAGTGGGGCCTCGGTGACCCACGTCTGGGCAAGGGAACATTAAGTCCATTTGTTTTTCTCATCATCTGGGTCTTTGGGCTGCACTCTGCCTGGTCCCTCACCTAGGACCTGTCTGCCATGGGTGACCCGACTAGGGGCGTAAAGCCCCTGACAGCATAGCTTCTAGGATCATTGGGACACTCAAACCCCTCCACCACGGTAAGGTGGCAGCCCAGGGAGGGGTGTTAATTTATTATTTTCATTTTAATTTTTTTATTTTATTTATCCTTTATTCAGGTGTTCTCACTGAGTCACAAGAACTCATTTTCAAGAGACACCTGATATGAATGTTCCTGTTAACTTATTTTTTTCATATATGAATATTTCTGTTCAGTGCCCTGAGACGACTTCTGTTGTTACTTGGTGCTCTATAAATAAACTGAATTGAATTGAACAGATTTTTTTCATTAAATAAATACTAAAAATATTTAAACTATTTAAATCTAAATGTGATACAAATTGCATTTTATCACTGTCCAGAGTTGACTCAATAACACCCAAGTGTTTATGCAGCTACTTTTCTTTTCACTGTGTTTTAAACTTCACTCAGAAATCTCATTAGGTCTTTGATGATCTCTATTAGTTTATAAAAGTGTAATTATTTTCTTCTCAACAGGCTTTAGAGGCTTGTAAAGACGCTGGGCTGGTTAAGTCTCTGGGGGTTTCAAATTTCAACCGCAGGCAGCTGGAGCAGCTGCTGAAAAAACCTGGCCTCAAACACAAACCTGTGTCCAACCAGGTGAGCCCAAATGTTCTGCTTCCACAGAACACCTTGTGCATGCATATTTTATTACAGGGAGTACTAATACAACAAATCATGTAACCAAGCTTAGTCTGTGGCATATGTCTCTTTTAGCCATTTTTTTACACAATTTTTCACATTGTTATTCAAGCAAAGAGACATTTGTTTTGATGTATTTTCTTCTCACATTCCTGTTAGGTTGAATGTCATCCATATTTCACACAACCAAAGCTTCTGAAGTATTGTCATCAGAATGACATTGTGATTGTTGGTTATTGCCCACTTGGCTCCTCCAGAGATGCTTCCTGGTATGTGTTTTCCAGCATATGGACTCCAGTCATACTGGACTAATATGTCATTTATTAAACTAATGACTGCAAAGAAAAGCTGCAAAACATACATATTAGCTCAATTTGTTTGCCTTTTTTAGGGTAAATTTGAAGTGTGCTCCACTGTTGGAAGATGAGCTACTAAAATCCATTGGGAAAAAGTACAACAAGACTAGTGCTCAGGTGGCTCTGCGCTTTAATGTCCAAAGAGGAGTGGTGGTGATTCCAAAGAGCTTCAGTCCAGAGAGGATCAAACATAACTTCCAGGTTGTTGTTTTTTTCTTAATGTGCATGTGTTCTCTCAGTGATGGTAAATCTGCGTATCAAAATTATTTTTTCCCTTTGTAATTTTGAAAGCAATAATTCTAATTCTTTAAATTAGCAATGCATGTTGTCTCTGAGTAGTAAATGTTGTGGACAGCTGTCAGAGACAGTTTGTGATGGGTTAAATTTTTGCATGAAAAATCTTAATTTTTGAGTTCCAAGTTGGAAAACTAGAAGCTCCGCCCCTCATTCTCTAAAATAAAAGTAAATAAAGGAAAATGAAAAAGAGAAGCTGATGTAAGACCAGGTTATTAGTAGTGACATTTTGTTTAAACCCAAGGTCGCTTAAAAGATCCCAAGTCCAATCTCTGATGTCAATGCCAATTTCATTTTTATAGCATATTTAATAACAACAACAACGTTGACCAAAGTGCTTCACAAACAGGAAATTGAGCAAAAAAAAAAACCCACACATACCAAACAATAAAATCGCAAGTATAATAAAAATGGGCTAAAACAACCTATAAGGTTTTGATGGAACTCAAACTGAATTTAAAATTAAGTCAGTGTAAAATGTAATGGGTCTGTATGGATCAGCACAACATAAAAAAAAAAAAAAAAGAAAAAAAGTTTTAGTTATCAAAGGCGGCATCTGGGGAGGATCCGGGCCTCGGTTCTGGTCCCATCTATGAAGACAGATAGGTTAGTGACTGCAAAAAGGTTCTGGGATCCGAGAGAGGTGGTGTGCACGTCACTAACCTTCTGTGGCAGGAGCAGGGCTGAGGCAGAGAGCGTTAGAGGGCTGGGCAGGAAACAGAATCCAGGGACGTAGCAGGGGTCGAGAGCCAGGAGCTGTGTGAACAGGCAAAAGATGCACAAGGATGATCCGTAGTCATGGTCGAACAGGAGAGCGAGGTTGTACCGTGCAAGCTGCAGGCGTGGAATCCAGACAGGGGCAAAGTCAAGGCGAAGAGTCAAGAGCGAAGCTGTGGTCATAAAAGAAACTAGGAACAAGGAATGCTGGATAATTTACTTGCTGTGAGGCTTTCACTAATCTGGCACCTTGCTGTGGCAAGTGCTGAGTTTATAAGGGCTGGCACCAGGTGTAGAGCATCAACACTTATTACTGTGATCAGGGAGAATCAGGTAGGCAGGCCTTGCAGGGGTGATTGACAGGCAGCTAGAAATGACAGAGGGAGAGTGTCCAGAGAAGAGCATAAACCAAAGATGATCAGAGGGGCAGAACACAGATAAATGCATGGGCAGGGGTCCAAAAGTGACATAAAATGTGCATTTTCAGGCAGAATTTAAAGAACTGTATGGACTCTGCAGGACAAATATCAATGGGCAGGGAGGTCCAGAGTCTGGGGGCTGCCACTGCAAAAGCCCAACCCCTCTGTTCTTTAATTTAGCCCTCGGCTGCACTAAAAGCTTCTGAGTGGAGAATCTCCATGATCCATTTGGGTTGTAAAAGTGCAAAAGATCCATTAAATGACGATTACTCCAAGTATTCTCTGAAGTTCAATATATGTGAACAATTATAATTTCTGTGACTGGAGATAATTTACTGCAAACCAGGTCATTCAAGTGGGAAAATTAAAGTTTTATTGTAATTGTTCACAATGTGCTTCTTTTGCAACAAAGGTTGATTTAAATTGCTAAAGCACAGTCAGATGTGACACTTTCTGAACAATTACAAAAAAGCTTTAACTTCAGCTCTTGTATCATTTTGAAGTTCTGAGTTTTTCTAGACTCCTACACAGACTAGTTTTGTGCAGCTGTTAGTTTGATTTTTCCATTAGAGCATCTCGTTGATTATTCAAGCTGAATTCACTATAACAAATATCTACTGCAGTTAAGACACTTACTTTTTGCAGAAGTGCTGAATATAACCCTTCTTTATAAAAATCTGCCTATATCTTTAATTTGTCATAAATTTCTGCTACAACAATTCTTATGCTCTTGCAGATATTTAATTTTTCTCTCACTGATGATGAAATGAAAGCCATTGAAGGACTGAATAAAAATATTCGCTTTGTGGAGCTGCCAATGTAAGTACACTTAGACAACAAACTACACTGTTGGTCTGGTGTAATACAAAAATAAAATGTAAAGACTAAGAAGAAAGCATTATGCACTGAAATAACTTTTGTATTCTACAACAGGTGGAGCGATCATCCAGAGTATCCCTTTCATGATGAATACTAAGCTTTTAAAGATTTTCTGTAACAAAACATTTTTAATGTTAAAACTTGAATAAATAAATTGAGATCCTCAGTCTTACTTCAGTTATTTAGGTGACTGTCATTATAAACACTAAAGGGCTCTCTCTCAGTCAAATGAAATACTGTGTGATAATTGTCTTTACGTATGGCCCTAAGGTGAAGCACAGAGGGTATTTAATTATTGCATTTCAGTTTCATGTGAGCCTTGTGTAATATTTCAATAGGGCTACTTGTTTGTTAAAACTGATGTAAAACTAATAGATGCAGTTGCAGAAATAATCAACACACATTTTATCCATCGTAACTTGGGTAACAAAGTTGTTTTCTAAAAGTATGTTTCTGTTTTACTGAACACTCACTTTCACACAAGTCACAGTCATCAGTGAAACTCTGGCACAACAGTTTGCTGCAGGATCAATAAAGATCTTATCTTATCTGATCTTGTCCTTGGTTTTATCCAGAGACTCTTCAAAATAAGATGGGAGAAGCTGATATTGAACCACCAGCCTTCTCGAAGTGACTGCTCATTACATTTTATGGAGTGATTCCTATCGAACAGCCAACACAATGACGTTCATCACGATCATTGCTTGTATATGTTAAAATCACCCTTCCATATCAGCTCTATTTCAATTAACACTTAAAAAATAATTTAACTGGATGTTAAAAATAGTTTAATTGCAGGCAGATGGAGTTCAACCGGTACTACAGTATTACAAACACTTTATTGTTATTAGGCAGATATGGCAGCTCAAATGAAAGGTATTTTTAGCCTTTGTCTTGTTGTCAGTTACATATTACAAAATTCTTCTGGCAAAAGTGTCATTATAGTTCATTGTAAGTGGCCCAAACAAAAGAGTATTATTCCACTGACAGAATGTCCTTCTTAACAGCAAACATGTTTGAGTCAGAACTGTGACTTGGCAAAAATGTCCAAGTTGAAACAAAAAGTAAATGAGAGGTGTAGTTCATGAGCAAGCTCACTTCTTTCTTCAGTCTCATATCAAATGTCATATTTGTCTCCAAACAAAATGGGGGTAAAAATCACTGAATATCATTTTTTTGGGACTGGTTTCACCAGTTTTACCCAAGCTAAAGTCTCTGTTTATTGCTTTTTTTGTTTGGTTTTTAAAGTCTTTACTTAAGAAATAGTTAGTTTGACCATTATCATAAATATATTTTTGATGTTTATTTTTTCTTCTTCATTCATCCATTCATCCATCCGTCCATCCATCCATTTTCTTCCGCTAATCCGGGGTTGGGTCGCGGGGGTAGCAACTTAAGTAGGGAGGCCCAGACTTCCCTCTCCCCGGCCACTTGGGCCAGCTCCTCCCGGGGAATCCCTAGGCGTTCCCAGGTCAGCCGAGAAACATAGCCCTCCAGCATGTCCTGAGTCTTCCTCTGGGTCTCCTCCCGGTGGGACGTGTCTGGAACACCTCATCAGGGAGGCGTCCAGGAGGTATCCTAAACATAGATGAGGGTAGGAACGTAGATCGACCGGTAAATAGAGAGCTTCGCCTTTTGACTCAGCTCTCTCTTCACCACGACAGACCGGTACAGCGCCCGCTTCACTGCAGACGCCGCACCTCTCCGCCTATCGATCTCTCGCTCCATTTTTCCCTCATTTGTGAACAAGACCCCAAGATACTTAAACTCCTGCACTTGGGGCAGGACCTCCTCTCCGACCCGGAGAGTGCACTCTACCCTTTTCCGGCTCAAGACCATGGCCTCGGATTTGGAAGAACTGATCTTCATCCCAGCCACGTCACACTTGGCTCTGAACCGCTCCAGCGAAAGCTGTAGATCACGATCTGATGAAGCCAATAGGACCACATCTGCAAAAAGCAGAGACGGGATCCTAAGGCCACCAAAATGGATCCCCTCAACACCTTGACTGCACCTAGAAATTCTGTCCATAAAAGTTATGAACAGAATCGGTGACAAAAGGCAACTTTGGCAGAGTCCAACTCTCACCAGGAATGAACCCGACTTACTGCCAGAAATGCGGACCAAGCTCTGACATCGGTCATACAGGGACCTAACAGCCCGTATCAAAGGGCCTGGTACCCCATACTCCCAGAGTACCCCCCACAGGGTTCCCCAAAGGACGCGGTCCAATGCCTGCTTCAAGTCCACAAAGCACATCTAGACTGGGTGGGCAAACTCCCACGCACCCTCCAGGACCCTGCTGAGAGTTTAGAGCTGGTCCAGTGTTCCACGACCAGGACTAAAACCGCACTGCTCCTCCTGAATCCGAGGTTCGACTATCCGACGGACCCTCCTCTCCAGAACCCCCGAATAGACCTTACCAGGGAGGCTTAAGAGCATGATCCCCCTATAGTTGGAACCCACTCCACAGTCCCCCTTTTTGAATAGGGGGACCACCACCCTGGTCTGCCAATCCAGGGGACCTTCCCCCGATGTCCACACAATATTGCAGAGTCATGTAAGCCAACACAACCCTACAACATCCAGAGCCTTAAGGAACTCCAGGCAAATCTCATCCACCCCTGGGGCCCTGGCACCCAGGAGCTTTTTAACCACATTGGTGACCTCAGCACCAGAGATTGGATGGCCAAACCCAAAGTCCCCAGGCTCCACTTTCTCAGTGGAAGACGTGCCGGTGGGATTGAGGAGGTCCTTGAAGTACTTTGTCCACCGACCCACGACATCCCAAGTTGAAGTCAGCAGCTCACCACCTCCACTATAAACAGTGTTGGTGGCGTACCGCTTCCCCCCCCCCCACCCCAAAGCCATACGGAAGTCATTCTCCATGGCCTCTCCGAACTCCTCCCATGCCTGAGTTTTTGCCTCAGCGACCACCTGAGCCACATGCCACTTGGACTGCCAGTACCCATCAGCTGCTTATGGGGTCCCACAGGCCAAAAAGACCTGATAGGACTCCTTCTTCAGCCTGAAAACATCCCTCACCACCGGTGTCCACCACCAGGTTTTCAGGGTTGCCGCCACGATAGGCACCAACAACCAAGCGGCCACAGCTCTGGTAAGCTGACTCGACAATAGAGGCATGGAACATGGCCCACTCTGACTCAATGTCCCCTACCTCCCACGGAACGTGTTGGAAGTTCTCCCGGTGGTGGAAGTTAAATATCCGTCTCACGGGAGACTCTGGCAGATGTTCCCAGCAGACTCTCACAATACGTTTGGGCCTGCCAGGTCTGACCGTCATCCTCCCCCACCATCGGAGCCAACTCACCACCAGGTAGTGGTCAGTGGACAGCTCTGCCCTTCTCTTCACCCGAGTGTCCAAGACATGTGGCCACAGATCAGATGAGACGACAACAAAGTCGATCATCGAACTGCAGCCTAGTGTGTCCTGGTGCCAAGAGCACATATGGACACCTTATGCTTGAACATGGTGTTCATTATTGACAATCCAATCCAGAAGTCCAACAACAGAACACCACTCGAGTTCAGATCAGGAGGGCTGTTCCTCCCAACCACACCCCTCCAGGTCTCACTGCCATTGCCCACATGAGCGTTGAAGTCCCCCAGAAGAACAAGGGAGTCCCCAGGAGGTGCACTCTCCAGTACCCCCTCCAAGGACTCCAAAAAGTAAATGGTAAATGGACTGTACTTGTGTAGCACCTTTCTATCTGATCAAGACACTCAGAAGGGTGGGTAATCTGAACAACTCTTTGGTGCATAAGCACAAATGACAGTCAGAACCCATCCCTCCACACGTAGGTGGAGGGAGGCTACCCTCTCATTCACCGGGGTGAACCCCAACGTACAGGCACCAAGATGTGGGGGCAAAAAGTATGCCCACTCCTGCTCGGCGCCTCTCAGCAGGGGCATCTCCAAAGTGGAAGAGTGTCCAACCCTTCTCAAGGAAACTGGTTCCAGAGCCAGAGCCATGCATTGAGGTGAGTCCAACTATTTCTAGCCGGAACCTCTCAACCTCACACACCAGCTCAGGCTCCTTCTCCAGAGACGTGACATTCCACGTCACAATAGCCAGCTTCTGTAGCCGAGGATAAGACCACCAAGGTTCCCGCCCTCGGCCACCACCCATCCCACATTACACCCAAACCCTTTGGGCCCTCCCACAGGTGCTGAGCCTCTTTTTTTATTTTTTTTATTTTATTTTTTTTACAAATGATGATTTCAAGATTAGCACGGTGGCGCAACGGGTAGAGCTGCTGCCTCTCAGCGAGCAGGTCCTTGGTTCAAACCCCGGTCCAGGGGCCTTTCTGGGTGGAGTTTGCATGTTCTCTCCGTGCATGCGTGGGTTTTCTCCGGGTGCTCCGGTTTCCTCCCACAGACCAAAAACATGCATGTTAGGCTGATTGGTAACTCTAAACTGTCCCTAGGTGTGAATGAGAGAGTGAATGGTTGTTTGTCTTGTTTGTCTCTATGTGGCCCTGTGATGGACTTGCGACCCGTCCAGGGTGTACCCCGCCCCTCGCACAGTGATTGCTGGACATGGGCACCAGCGACCCCCGTGACCCAAAACGGAATAAGCGGGTAAAGATAATGGATGGATGGATGGATTTCAAGATTACACCAATGAAAATTTTAAGCCCTAGCATTCCTTCAAGAAATGCAAATCACCTTCTGACTTTTATGCCAGAGTTTTAAACTGCTGTCATCATATGTTGAGAAATCACGGAGTTTTAGCCTCTTTGACCAAACCTTGAAAATAGAATCTATCATCCATCCATCTATTATCTTTATCCGCTTCTTCTTTGGATCACGGGAATCACTGGTGCCTGGTGTTGAATGCGTCTTAGATACAATAACATCAAATTTTTGTGTTGTGTAATTGTAAAGGATTTTATTAATATTACTTATCATTTTAAACCATTTAAAGTGCCTGTTTCAATAATTCACTGTCTGTGTGATGTTTTTGCTTGTTCATGTGCGTGCAAAGCTGACAGAAACGGTATCAACCCACACCTGATTAACAGGAACCGCTTGTATTGATGCAAGAGAAGACTTTTGTACCGAAACCACAGAATA